GAGCTTCACGAGCGACGGGCGTCTTTTTAAAGATGGCTTCCCGCTCGTGCGTTTCTGGATGTGGTCGTTTCCTGCCTCCATCTGATGGTCATGATCGCTGCCTCTCGTGCCTGGGCTTACAGCACACTGAAGCAGCGCTCATGGATGAGTCATGTTCTCAGTGCGGGAACATGACCTTCGCAACGTGGCGGTCTAGATACCTCCTCATTAAATGGGGGCCTCTAAAACGTCTCCGCGGGCCTCTCATTCCTCGAGCATGTCGCACCACCTGGGGTTTCCGGACGAGTGTGCTGGGTCCTCGGACAGGGCGGGGTCCAGCATCAAGTTTAATAATAATAATTTTATTCTCCCGCATCCCGCACATACACGAATGTCTACCCGCCGGCACCAGCACTCGCCCATCTTGTCCCGCGCCGCACTCTGTTGCGTCAGGTCTCGCGGGAGCAGGTCTCTAATCCACTGGCACTTGACTCGACAGTGCGTGTGCTACATCCTTTTTACAATCACTAGATTAGAAAACACTGTATTCTGTCAGCAATGTAACGCGGCAGTAACGTTTAGAGACCTTGGCTTGTAACTATACTCTATTTACTATTTTGAAAATTATAACGCGTTGAACCCGTTACAAAAAAAGTAATCAAATTACAGTAACGCGTTTCTAAGTAATGCGTTAATGCCCAACACTGTTCAGATGTGTACAGCGCATTTCATGGAGAACTGTTTCCTGATCCTGGGAGGGTAGACTACAATGCCGGCTGTTCTGACTAACAGTCTGTAAGTACGTTTTCATAATTAAAGAATTTGCCACTGATGATTCAAATGCGAGTTTTGTGCAGTGTAGAGTAGCGCTTGTTGTTTGTCATTTCTCCGATCACAAATGTAAACATGGTTTTATGTTGACGCGGCGCGATGCAACTGGTTTTTTAACCTTAAACCGCATAAGCACATTTCATTACACCAAATACACAAAATAATGTACTTTTTAGTAACATCATATGAACCCTTTAATAAGGAGAAAAGCTCTAGAGGACGCTAGGGGAACGCCTTCAGCATGACAAGTGTCTCTGAAGCATGAATGAAAAAATTACTATGAACCTGACATTGGCAGGCGGCAGCCTATGACGTAAACAATAACGCGCCTGCGGGTATAAAAGAGCACCTGTGGAATACGTCATCCTCTTTTTTGTTTTCAGGGTCACTTTGTTTCTGAAGTGTGATTCGGTAAGAACGATGTCTATTGTCAAGTGTTTTAGGAAGTGTGCAGATCCGTGTCAGCACTATCTGACACCAGATGATGCACACGACCTATGCATTATGTGTTTGGGCGAGGAGCACGCACGCTCTGTTCTCGAGGGAACAGAGCGCGTTCATTGTGAGCGTTTCTCATTGAAGAAGCTCCGCTCTCGTTTGTCCCTTTTCTCGAGGGAATTGGGACAATCATCTGCCCCCCGTGGCTCGGGTCCTGCCGCTGCCGAGGCAGCGAGGAGACTGAGATAGTGGGGATCGCAAATGGAGCTTGCTGACAAGTTTGAGAGAGATGTTAATAAACTGCTGGAAGAGGATGTGTTGTCTCTTACATCCTCTGATCCAGCAGGAAGTGCTCTGTTGGCTTCCAGCCAAAGTGAGCAGGATTTGGCTGATGAGGGTGAAAAGGATATTTCTGAGCCTTCTCAGCCTGCCTGCCCCGCGAATGATGAGCTGTTGGAGCTTATGGATTGCGCTTCTGCTAGATTAGACCTGCAGTGGAGGCGCGAAAAAGGGGAAATTGCTCGCAGTAGACCTGATGAGCGATTTCTTTCTGGACATAACCGCCCAGCTCCCATGAGCCTCCCATTCCTTTCAGATCTTCATAGTGAGATCGAGAAGGCATGGGGTAAACCATATCCAGCCCCGCATTCATTGATACCAGCATGCTAATTATGCTAATGTCGAGGGGATGTGTGAGCATGGATATGTGTCGATGCCCCCTATTGAAGAGACGCTTGCGAGCTATCTCTCAGCTGGGGTGACATCGACTTTGAAGGCTCTAAAAAATCAAGCCACTAAAGGAGACGTCTCGCTTGAATGGTAGGGCATACGCGGCAGCGGGTTAGGCTGGTGCTGCCTTGCACACAATGTCAGGACTTAGGGCCAGGCGGTTAGTGTGGTTGAGTGTCGTAGGCTTCCTCTCGTTTAGGAGAGTCATTTTGTTGAAGCCTCCACTCTCCAGAGCTTTTTAACTAGGGTTTGAGTGTTGTTAGGCATCCTTTCGGTTAAGAAAGAAAAGAAAATCTTTCAGCTGAAGCCTCCGCTCTCCAGACTTGTCTCTAGCCTCTCGTTTTTAGAGAGTTGAGACCTTCACTCTCAAGAGTTCCCCTAATAACATTGAGGGTTGTTAGGTTTCCTCTCATTTAAGAGAGTCATCCTGCTGAAGGCTCCACTCTTCAGAGTCCTGCCTAGGCAGTATTTTCACTATGTATGTTCTTTCGTGAGCCTCACTAACTGTCTTGGGCATCGAGTGTGGTTAGGTCTTCTCTCATTTTAGAGATTTGTTATGTGAGACCTCCGCTCTTAAGAGCTCCTCTACTAGGGCTGGGTGTTGTTAGGCCTCCTCTCATTTAAGAGTCATTCTATGAAGCCTCCGCTCTTCAGAGCTTCGTTAGTCAGTAGTATTAGTGGACAAGCTTTTTCCTTGAGCCTCACTAACTGTCTCTAGCGTTGAGTGTAGCCAGGTCTCCTCTCGTTCAGAGAGTTGTTTTGGCTGATACCTCCACTCTTAAGAGCTCACCAATAGTATTGATGATGAGTGTAGTTAGGTCTCCTCTCATTCAGAGAGTCGTTATGGTGAGACCTCCACTCTTAAGATTGAGTGTTGTTAGGCTTTCCCTCGTTTAAGAGAGTCATTCTGCTGCAGCCTCCACTCTCCAGAGATCCGCTTAGGCAGTACTATTAGTATGTAGGCTCTATTTTGAGCCTCACTAACTGCCTCTGGCATTGAGTGTAGCTAGGTCTCCTCTCATTTAGAGAGTCTTTATGCTGAGACCTCCACTCTTAAGAATTCCCCTACCAGGATTGAGTGTTGTTAGGCTTCCTCTCATTTAAGAGAGTCAGTCTGCTGAAGCCTCCGCTCTTCAGAACTCCATCTTTGGCAGTAATATGAGTATGTAGGCTCCTTTGAGCCACACTAACTGTCTCTGGGTTTCAGTGTAGCCAGGTCTCCTCTCGCTTTAGAGAGTCGTTATGCTGAGACCTCCATTCTTAAGAGTTCCCCTACCCGGATTGAGTGTTGTTAGGCTTCCTCTTGTTAAAAGAGTGTCATTCTCAGTCCGGTTTTCTCAAAGATCGATTTGCCTCTGATAACATTAGGCGACTTCTAGGACAAACCCAGCAATTGGGTTGTTTTGACCCAGCGGTTGGGTTAAATGTTTAACCCAACCTTCTGGGTAGTAACCCAACCGCTGGGTCAAAACAACCCAATTGCTGGGTTTGTCCCTATTTTGCCATTTTTTAGAGTGTAGAAGAGGTAGAAGAGGTGCATTCAAATGTCACTGTATTTATGAACTGCATTTTTAATGTTTTTTTTTTTATAAATACATCCATGTTTAACAATTAGCATCATGTCACTGACCCCTTAAAACGTTATCCTAAACTTAACATAAGTCTGTAGGCTATGTGTTGTACTAAATCTAATAAAAATATTGATAAAGCAAAGTATGTGTCAGGGGTCTGGGTCTGGTGTTCTCCCTCTCACCACCAGAGGTCGCCACTTCCCATCCTCCCGGACTCCGTTACCTTGACTCCACACACCTGTGCACACACTCACACACACACAGCTGTTGCCCATCCTGAGGGCTATTTATACGCCTTCCCCACGCCTCTCTGGGCGGATTATTAAGTGTTGTTACGGGACTGATGCAAGTTCTACATGGCCGTATTGTGTCAGAGTCCGTTTTCTGTTTAAAGCCTGTGTGTCAGAGTCTTAGCTCTGTTTGTTTTCTGTTTTGGTTTTTACTTTGTTTTCCCCTGCAGTTAATAAAAGCCTGCATTTGGACCCAGACCCCTGTTTACACGGTGTGTTCCTTTACCGCGCCGTGACAGGATGTAACAATCTGTCTTTATTAAAAACAAAACTGTTTATTTCACACTTTCCCCAAAACCTAATGGGCATTAAATCCATTGTCATCTAAGCATATCTCAAAAGGATTCAAATATGTTTTAAGTTGAAGGTTGGAATCAATCCTGTTTTTTCATATCTTTATTACTCTATATTGAATAGTTCCTGATAGAACCTAACTAGAGCATGAAATGGGCTTTTTTGTTTTTGTAGAATAGATATGGATATTTATATTATATATAAATATGAAATGTTTCAAAATAATGTGAACACTGAGTAAAGGTTTGTTGTGGATTTTAAATGCACTGAGCATTTTTTAAAATAATAATAATAATAATAATTTGAGCATGAAAAGTGGGCATTAGGTTAGAGGGAAGGGATAAAAAAGTAAGACAGATTTGTGACATCAGCTAAAATAGAAAGCGATTTCTGAGGAGGAGAAAGTTTTTTATAAACCTTTATTATTAATATTTCATATTTACTATGTATTATTTATATTATAACTGCATTCACTGACATTTTAGTTCTTTTGAATTCTGCCGCAGCTTTCTGTGATTTTAGGCTGTTTTAGCGATAATTTGGAGCATTTCAACCACACGGTCCAATCGCAGGTGTTGCCTGTAAGTGAAGCTGCTTCGAAAATGTGATTCAAAACAAAGGCTTTGCTGCCAACTGTTTCCTGACATGCCGATCTGCTCTATTAAAGCGGATTTATTACTGACATTAGACACACATCTGCTCATGGCAATGCATTCACTCACACTATAAGTGTCTCTTCTCTATGCGGTAAATGGCCGCATCTCACCTACCGGATATACAAACTGCAGCTCACTGTTAGAGACATCACTATCTGCTTGCTTTTCCTCTAAAGGAATTGATGTAGGATAAAGGATAATCCTCTCCAGGCCTCCTTAGGAATATCTCTTATCTGTGCTATAACACAACAGCATTAGGGCTATCATGTGAGGATTACTCTTGAAAGGCAGAACTATCGCGGCATTTCAGTCGGACTGATCAAATGTAATCTAAGCCTCTCCAGGAAATAGAGATTTTTTGGAGAATTTTTAGTTACAGTGAACTTGCTGACTTTGTGAGCGCTCAACTTCAAATGAAACATTCATGAGGGTGTTATGTTATGGTCTGATGATTGTAATGAGTAATATCAACAGCTGATTAATTCCTGCGCTATGAACGCACAGTGTGCCAGACTCATTAGCACACAGCGAGTGCACTTCAGAACTCAAATAACCTTGAGAGTCCATTGATTTCTTCTGACGACATCTCACCTTTGGTACCACTGGGATGTTGACAACAACGTGAGGAAGATTTTACCTACTTTGCCTTCCTGAGAACACTGAGTTACTGAAGTACCATTTTACATAAGGCTACAGCTATTTGTATTAGTCAGCTAAAGAGGACAAAGAACACTCTATGCACAGCTGCCATTCTACACTGTAAAAAAAGTCAGTAAAAATACAGTACAATATACCGTAATAATTTGAAGGAATTTTCCGTATTCGTTTTTTACAGGAGTTTTTTCTGTATTTTTGAATTACGCTTTGCATTGTGGGAACAAGAAGCTCAGTCAATTATCGGCGCGAAAACAGTGCTAGAGCAGGCGCCATTACCCACGGAGATAGTCTCGGTCAAAATTTCATTTATAAGTCGGATTTTGGGTTTGGGA